ATCTTCAGGTGACTTACCTTCTCCACCACATTCTGCAACAACTACTGTGCAGTCATTAAAACAGAAGCAAAAAGTACGTGTCACCAATGGTCCGACAATTTTTCGGACTCGTATCCGTTTCGTCGTAATGTTGGTGATGCTGTTTTGTTTAGCTAGCATTTGGTGATTTTTAAAGCTGTCAATCTTTACTTACCACTTACTATTACAAGATATTTCTGTTGTATTCCTGGTTTTTCAAAGAAAAAAAATCGAAAATTAATTTCAACTTAAAACAGAGTTTTTTGAAATTATTTTGTAAAAAAAATTTTTTTGATAATTTGAGCTCTTCAGAAGTTTCACAGAAGTATTACTTCTTGCTATTTTTCTTATTTGACAACAGAATCAAACAGTTGAACACTGGTTTTTGCACATGCATATATCACAAAAATTACCAGTTTAGGTCAAATATACTGTCATTTAACTTTGCTTTAATCTGTATGGAAAATAATAACAATGAAGATCATTTGACGAACAGTTCAGCTTCAGTGAAGGTATTACGTAATGAAAGCTCAACAGCTTTTACTAACTGTAAGTTTTTTGCTACTTGATATACAAGAGTAAAACTAAAAAAAAAATAGTTAATAAACTTCAGCTTTTTTTATTCATGTCTCAGATAAGTTAAAAATCAAAAATTAAATTCTTCATTTAAATTTACAGAATTTTAGAAAGGAATAGACTGAATTTTGTGTTCTTCTTTTTCACAAACATCAGAACTGTTGGTTAATTTTAAAAAATTGGTAATCGAAGTAATTGTACTATTTAAAAAAAGCTCCAAAACTTTTGTAGCTAATAATACTTTTTATGTTTACTTGGTTAATTGGTTTAGGTTTAAGCAGTTTAATGTAGGATCAGACAAAGATAACAATTGTCAAGATACCTGACAACAATATTTGTTTCTCAAAAATTCATCTTAAATTGCTATATATTGCATCTAAAATATCTTACACCACTATTGTTCACACTACTTCACTTACGCTGCTGTTCTATCAGTCTTTAGACTGCTTCGCTGGCATAATTCTGAAATGATAGAGCTAGCGACATATCAGTGTTTAAAGATCTGTCTAAAAAATAAATTTGAGTCTTTTTTATTTTATGTCGCTAAATGCAAAAAGAATTTAATTTTTTGCTATTTAAATAGTGAGAAAAGTATGAATTGACTTTCAGCTTTCTCTTTCAATGCTTTGCAGGTATCAGACGTATTTTTAAATCAACTTTTTTGTGCATTGCTTTCGAAAACATTAGACAACCTTAATGTGCATATTTCAGATGAAAAATCATTACTGACTTTGGTAGTTGCAATTGCTGCACTGTTTGCGAACTTTATTGTCGTTACATTGGTGAATCACTATGGAATTCGTCTAATTTTCACTATTCTTGGACTTTTGTCTGCTATTGCTACATGGTTTATACCAACTGCAATTCGGGTACTGTCTATTTTTATGCTTAGTTTGTGTTTATTAAATATGTGCTTTTTTTTGATACACTTTATTTGCAACTACGGTTGAAATTAATAAAAATTATATGCTTTTTTTTTCAGTGTTTTTTAGCTATAAAAGTTGTATACTGCTAATAATTGTTTTTGTTTTTTTTTTTTTCAGCTTGGATTTTATTATTTGCTTGGTGCACGATTTGTACAAGGAATTGCTTTTGCAGCAAATTTTCCAGTGATCGGAGGTTTTTGTGCCAGATGGGCATATTATAAACAAGTATTTTTGTTGATTCTGTTCCCAGACGTTTAATTAATTTCTGAACAATAGTCTACATCTGATGCAATAACTTTTGATAGCATTTTGAACAGTTAGACAACTTACGGCTGTCTCTTTTTCATTCCTTCACTGTTTTCAGTTTCCTCTTTCATAGGGTATAGTTGTATTCACCATTGAGAATAATGTCGAGGAAGTTTCAAGTGAAAATAGCGTCATGTGCTGGAATTGTTCATCCTACAGTTTCAAAAAAATCTAAAAACGTTACATATTTGATAAGCTGAAGGAATGAGAAAGGTTGATTTTTGGAAGAAAATTTGAACCGCGCTTGGTATTTCAAAAAGGAAATTTTTTTAGAATATTAGTTTACACGCAGTCATCTTTTTTTTTTTTTCAAACTTTGTCTAGAAGCGGCATTGAATGAATGATTCACAAGGAATTACATCTACTTTCTGGCTGCTTTTTTTGACAACAGTTTTATTTTTAGGAATAATGAATAAAAAACGAACTCAAGCAGTTAAAAATAATAAACTCTCATTCTTTTCGCATTTTCTTTTTCTTGTTCTTATTCACGCTCCAAAAATTTTCAGTAAACATTTTTTTTTTTACATTTTTCAAAGTAAAATAGGTGGACTCAGTTCTTGAAGAAAATGGCAATTTTACTTTATGTTTATTAAAATTATCATTTAAGTTACTTAAATGGCAGTTTTATTTCTTATTAGGTCTGGTTCGTCAAAAAACATTACTGAAAAGTCTTTGTTGATAAATTTGTTACGATTTTTTTTTCAGTTTTTTAAATTTCTGGGCTAATAACTGCATTTGAAGCAATATGAGTACCTAATTTTACATTGTCTCTATTCATTTAAGGAAATGAAAAAAACAATGAATGCTTAAATTCAAAAAAATAAAAACAATTTTTTTAGAGTGGTTTGTTCGTTTCTGTTTTGGTGGCCTATGTTCAACTTTCACCAGCAATTACCATGCCTGTTTCGGGCTTTCTTTGTCAAAAAAGTGGCTGGCCATTGGTCTTTTATGTGCACGGCACCTTCACCTTTGTCCTCTTTCTATTCTACTGGCTTTTCTATCGAAACAATCCTCAAAAACATCCTATGGTTGGAGATAAAGAAGTTAATAAGATTCGGAAGGGAAAAGTTGAAGCAAGGTTGAGGCATCTTCTGCATTAACTTGTTGCTATATGCTTCAATTTTCGGTTATAGTTTTCAAATGTAGTGACTAAAAGAAAGTATCTGTAAAGAAATTTCTAAACCAAACCGTAAAATCTCTAAATTTGCTAAAAAATTTTTTTGTCTATTCTACAATCTTCAGTTTTATTTAGCTGATTTTTTGACGATCAGATATTGATACAGAGTAAATCGCTTTCAGTTCCGATAGATGCAGTAAAAAAGACCTGAAAAGGATTCCATATGTTGCAATCTTGAAAACTCCAGCTGTTTGGGCAATTTGGTTGGCGGCTGTAGGTAATTTCACCTGCGTAAATTTGATGTTCTTATTTTCGCCAATTTATATCAACCAAATTCTTGGATATGAAGTGTCAAAAACTGGTTTAAATGCTGCCTTGGCACCGATTGCTCAGTTTGCAGTAAAAATGACAAGCGGTAAGTACATCGCAATAATAACCGTTTATTTTGCATTAAATGTCACTAAATTTTTAGTTTTCAAAAAAATATTTTTGCAAAAATATTTATTATTTCTGTATATTACTACTAAAATAAGTAGTTTCAAGATAAAAAGAAAAAAAAAAAACAAAAAAAGAAACACGATGTACACAGCAGTACTTTATTTCATAGAAATTATGACTTTTAGTTAAAAAATTTTCTTAACTTTTTTTTTTCTGTTTAATTCAAATTATTGTCACATAATGTGTGCAGTTGCAAAAGACTGATGAATTAAACCACAGATCACATTTCAATTCTTTTATTTTTTTTTTTTTATTTTACTAACTTATAGCGGTTATTAATTTCTCTGTTACACAGTTGGTTGAGAATGTTTGTAAAAATTTTTCATTCAGGAATGGTATCAGACAAGATTAAATGCCTCTCTGAAACCAGTAAACTTCGTTTGTTCAATTCGATCGCATTTTTCGGTGCAGCAATATTTCTGTTTATACTATCGGTGCTAGATGTTTCAAATATGGTTAATTTATTTCAACAGTATTAAATCAGATAAATATACGAAATTTTTTCAAATAAACTGAACAAAAAAATGAGGATTATCGTTTATGTTTAAAATTTAAAAGAGAAAAATGAATCAATTACAATCTTTTTTTTAGGGATTATGTTTAATTGTAATGGGAATTGGCACTGGTCTTCTTGGCGCAACAACTGGTGGATTTTTTAAAGCAGCTCCATTAATTTCAAAGCAGCATAGGTCAGCTGTACTTTGTGTTTTTTTACTTGTTAATTTTGCTAATATAACATTTATAAAAGCACAATATTGTAATTAGCCAACTAAATGTCTACGATTTTAGTCACTTTGTAACTGGAAACATATCGTTGGGCCTTACAGTAACCATGTTATTTGTGCCAATAATGATGAACGTTTTGGCACCAAACAACACTGCCTCAGAATGGGCAACCGTTTTTGTGGTTATTGCCATCTGTTTGGTTTGTTTCTACAGCATAAATAAAATTTCAAACAGCATTCATATAGAACGAATGTTTTTTAGCTGGCTGCTTAGCCAAGCACGAAAATCTAAATTTAAAATCTTTTTCAAACATATACTTAAGGATGAAGAATAAAAAGAAAAATTTGATGAAGTAATAAGCAGTAACTGAGGTAAAGATACATGTTTACAAATGCAAGTTATACTTAATTTTTAATAACTTAGCAGTATACCAGTTACTTTATTAAATCTTGATATGCATTTCATTATTTTAGGTACTGACAAACATCATATTTTGTTCGTTTGTCAGTGGAGAACCCTGTGAATGGACAACCGAAGAATACGTCATCAGGCATTCTACTAGAAGTCTGCCAATATCTTGTGAAGTAATGGCTAAGCCAGCTATTTGAAGCTTTAGTTTTTACATCTTATAAACAGTCTTATACCTGCACAAGATATCCTAAACAATCTTTTCAGATATGTTTTGGTACACTATTTTTACTTTTGGCTTGCAAAAATATACTTTTTCTTTTCAGCCAAAACATAGTTATGCTATTAAGTTTTCTTGTTTCCTTGTCTACGAAAGAATTGATTGAAAAATCTGTAAATTTTTGCTTAAATGTATATAAAGCATTTGGTGCAATTAGAAGTTGTATTTTGTCATGAAACTTCTTGTTATTTGAAAAACATTTATTTTTTTTTCCTTTTTAAACAGTAAGCTTTTACCGCTTCTCGTCTAAAAAACACTTTTAAATCCGTATTTTAGATGAACTCATCAATGCCGAACATTTATTTTACAAGCATCAAAATTTTATTTTTTTCACTAACTGCTTTTGATGCATTTACAAATGTGGCATCTGAATGTACAAACAAGGAATTAGAAAGAGATTTATCTGTTGTTTGAAGAAAGCGATGAGTACTTAAAAAGTCAATCACAGTTTTTGACCTCAGTATAATAAGAATGGCAGCTGTGGCAGCGTAAACTAGAAATATTTTAGATGAAGTATTTATAAACCTAAATTCCTCCCAAGAACTCGAATCAACATACTTTAGTCGAAATCAGTAAAAGGAAAATAATTTGAAACCAGATGAATACTGCTTTACTTTTGCGCATAGCGCGACATTAATTTTTCAGTGAGAAAGTGAGACATTTAGTCTTAATAAGAATCTGAGCAATCAGCTGACTGAAGGGGAAGGAATATACAACGTAAGCACTAAAAACTTCTGACTTTTTTAAATTGAGAAGTTGCAGCATTTAAAAAAAAATTGATAGTTTTATCACGAATGCTGTATACGCTTTGAAAAAACGCGACCTGTTTCTTGATTACGCTTTAAAAATTGTTCTCAACCATACCTCATCTGTATCCCTCCTTCTAGCTTCTGCTCCTAGTTGATTTCTTGCAGCATAAAGTTTTTTCTACCAAAATGTTTCTCCAAATTCGAAGCCGAATTCTATAGCACTAAATCTGCTGTTACTTTATAGAACTGATTTTTTACTGTGTGATCATAGTATTGTAAATTGTTGGTAGAAAACAAAAATTCTTTTATTTCTAACTATAGGTAGACGATAGGTGTAGAAAATACTAATCATAAAAAACATCTTTTCCTGATTTCATTTGTTGTTTTCAATAATTTTTTTATCAATTGAGCGGTTTGAGAAAGGAGAAATAAAAACAAAAATTTATTTTTGAATTTTGGATTTTCTATATAATATACGGTTATTTCCGAAAGCCTCTTTCTAACTATTTTCTTCTTCATTGTTTTTTTTTTTGTTTGATTTATATGAGCTACTTGATTCAAAAAAGAACGCCAAAAAAAATTGACTGCTTTTGAACTCTAAACAGCAAATGATTTCTTCTTTGTCAATGATGCTTACTTTTGTATCATTGCTAAACCTTTACTAAAAACCCATCGATAGAAAAATAGTATTGATTAAGGTTCTAGAACTGCTTCTTGTTCTCTTAGCTAATGTAACTGTTTTGTAGTACTGTTCATTTGTTATAAAAATTAAAAAATTATAAATGAGATTTCTGTTACAGTTTAAAAATCTAAACTTACATTATTTAGCTGTAACTTTAGTGTCGTACTTTCTGTTACATTGAAATCATTACGTTGCCATTTCTACAAGCCGGTTCTTTGACACAGCGCTTTTGTACAATTTTACTTAGTTTATTGTTGCTCAACCTTTGTGTTACTTCAAGGCTAACAATAAGCATTTGTTAACTGTTGTCTCTGTAAACTGAATATTTATTCTGCTCTGATAATTTAATAAACAAATTTTCGCATTTAAGTACACTGTGCAACCTGGTGAAAATCAAAGTACAAAGTAATACCGCTAAATGCGGTAGCAAAAAATTCTCATTAACCCTATAACTTTATCCTCTTTTCTTTTTTTGCTTTTATTAAGTGGTAATCTGTACTTTCCTCTGTAAAATTGACTGTACAATAAAGTTGAACAAAAAATTTTTGTAAAATATTCTGTAAATTTTTAAAGTTTTTGAAATCAACTGTTATCCGACTATTAGGTGAAGCTTCTATCAGCTCAAGCACAGATACTCATGCAGTCATATCAAACTTTAGTTAGTGGCACTACTCCTTAAAAAGATACTTCTGTAAATTAGAATTTGCACTGCAAAAATAAATGCTAGGTCTACAGACTAATTTAAAAAATAATGTCGATTTGAAATTTTCATTCCAGGACCTACTTAAGTTACACAAATCTTAAAAGTGACCAGTAACGCATTGGTAAAAAACCCCATTAACCGCATTTTTTTTGCTATATTTCTTATACCGTTTTTTTTAATTTTAGACCTGATTTTTAAATCATTTATTGGAAAAAAATTAATAATTTAGATTACATATGTATACGAAATGTTTTCTGCAGTTTTACAGCCACCATTTATTAGAATTTTCGAGTAGACTATTAAAGTCAGTTTCATTTTGGCAATTTTGCAGTAATGCCTGTGCTAGAAATAATTCTGATAAAGATAAGGTTATACCAATTGAAATAAAAGACATAACATATATTACAGTAAAAAAATTACTTTTTTTAGACCAAATTACTAAAGCCAACCAACCTAATTACGTAATAAAACGAACAGCATCAAAAAATATCATCTCTGCTTACAGCAACCAGAATTCCTTATATTGACATCACAGACAAGAAACCACTCAAAGAAAATCTCTATAAATTTAGTTTGTAGGCTGAGATTTAAGTCAATTTAATGTGGTTTGTCGTACTTAAACAGCTGGATTAAAATCGTTTATGCTCTCTAAAACAAAGACTTCTCTAGCTTTTTAAAAAACCTCATTTCTAAGCCGAAACATGTCACTTGGTTCTTTTAAATGCATAGTTCACATTCATAATACTCGGTTGTGCCAAACTGTTGTTTCGCTTTTTTCAAGAGTAATTAATCTATAGCACCACCCCACGCATTCAGTCTTCTTATTAAAGGTATTGATTTTAAGGTTAATTTCGCTCCAATATTTAACGAAACAGTCAACTTATCGGTATTTTGATTTATCACCACTCAACGTTTACGATGTATAATAAGGCAACTCACAGTTCATATAAAATAAAAAATAAAAAACACAAACCGTTAAACTACTTATGAAACAGATTGGTTAGGTTAAAATCAGCGCGTTTTAAATAAAAAAAGAAACTTTAAAAGTCAGGAATTTGATAAGAAAAATGAATTATTTGACCAGGAACAGCTGTCGTTTAGCGACGCATTTTGACAAATCTTGGAAGCCTCCAGAACCATAACCAACACACGTGTTCCCATATACTTCAGGCCAACATGTTCAAAAATACACCTTTATTAACTAGGTCTGAGATTCAGAAGAAAAAGACAAAAGAAAAGTGTATTATCAATAAAATAATATGTACAAATCAAAAAAGTGAAAAAAGCAGTATTGGTAAAAAAAAGTTCTCTTTCGTAAAATGCAAAGAAAACTTTTTCGAATATTCTTTACAATTGCAAAGAACATATTTCTTATTAACATATAAATAAGCATTATCATTCACCAAGTAGTGAACCGGCAAACTGATGTACAGAAAGATTGCCTACATCAGAATATGCCTGTATACTAAAATTTGTTCACACATAACAGACTGAAAACATTGAAGAAAAAGTAAAAAAAAAAGAAGCTCCTCCAACAACTTTTAAGACACAGACAGCAAGAAGTTATTTTATTTTAAAAGTTTGTCCGATTCATCATCTTCCGTGTTGTTTGGTTGTGACATATTTATTTTTATTGCCTGCTCGCTGCTCGCTTTTGACAGCTCACCGCTTTTCCCAGATGGTCCTGCTTCATCTGACTGTCCTACTGGCGACGACTGCAGCTGGGCACTACCACTGGCATCATGACTGCTAAGATCAATCGGAGGATTTAAAGATATTGTGCTTTTGCGTACCGAATATGTTGGAACTGCACCACGGCTATAGATGTTAGCCAATGCATCACGCAGCTGAAGTAATCGGTATTAAAATAGTAAAAAGTTCAATATAAGTGTTGTTGGCTTCTGATATTTATCAGAAGCAAAAAAGCGCATAATTATGGGCTATCACGTCAATAAACCTTCCTTTGAGGAAAAAAACGAACAATCTTTGAGTAAGTGTAAGATGCGAATTTTCTTATCATTGTTACTGTGATTGATCTAGTATGCCAACTTTGTACATGCTGTTTTAAATCCCTAAAAACGCAACAAAATGATCAGTATAGAAGCTTAAAAAACATGTAAATGGTCGGTTAAGCTACCGTTGAAACCCTGCACCAGTTAATGCTCCAGAAGCTTTTCATTAATAATTTCCTTGTTGTTAGCTATCATTAATTAATGCAAAACGTTTTATAACGTTTTAACGCATTGATGACTGAAGCAGATTAGCAACAATTTTTGGTGAAGTATACGAGGTAAGAAGTTGCATACAATACCTAATCGCATAACCAGCTTACATGTCAACTTAATTGTATGTATATCGCGGCGCAGTAATTCAAAGGACAGAATTTACCTCCTTGGTTGAGATCACCCCAACCAATTTGCCTCGATTTGTTACATAAGCGTGATGAAGACCAAGTAGCGAAAATAGTGTGTGAACCTAAAAATGAAACAAAAGAAGACTGTATACAAATTATCGTCTTTTATCATCGAATACTTGAAGTTTGTCGTTCGCATAAGATTATCTTTCTGTAATGAAAAAAAATGAGTAATAACTTACTTTGAAAAGTGAAGTACCGAGAACCAGTTGAAAGGGCGCTGGATCGACTGCAATTTCGTCAAGATCAATTTTTCTTTGCAGTTGTACAGCCCGATCTAATAAGGATGTATGATTGTTCTGTAATGTGACAGTGATTAAGAAAAACTGAATTTACCTATTTGACTCGTTCGCCCGTTTCTGTTATGCATAAAGCTCTTGATAATAGGGAAAACATGCTTAATAACAAAAAGTGTCTGTTTGTTTGCCGA